TTAAAGTAAAGACCTCTAACCACAATGCTTTTAAGTCTTAGATGCATCTTTTTACTAAAATAAATTTCTGATTTATCAAAGTTCACATGTTGGCCTGAAAATACCCCATATTCTTTGATTGCTTCCACCAACATAGYTCCTTCTTGGAGAGAAGCCTTTGTAAAGAAGTAGTTATCATCAACCAAAAAAAAAAAAAAAACAAGTGGGAGATGGTAGGATACTGATGGGTTAGTCTAATGCCAAAAAACAGACCTGTAGAAACTAAAATCTAAATCCTTTTAGAGAACACTTCAGAGCATAGAAGGAATAGGTAAGACYTAAGTAATTTGAGGATTTTGAGACCAACTTAAAGTAAAGACCTCTAGCCACAATGCTTTTAAGTCTTAGATGCATCTTTTTACTAAAATAAATTTCTGATTTATCAAAGTTCACCTATTGGCTTGAAACTACCCCATATTCTTTGATTGCTTCCACCAACATAGCTCCTTCTTTGTATAGAAGTAGCTATCATCTACAAAAAATAAAACAAGTAGGAGATGGTAAGACACTGATGAGTTAGTCTAATGCTTGAAAATAAACTAGTAGAAACTAAAAATTGAATCTTCTTAAAAAGTACTTCAAAGCATAAAAGGAATAGGTAAGGGGAAAGGGGGTTCCCTTGCCCCAACCCCCTGGAGGGGAGTAATTATTCACTTGGGGCACCATTAATAAGGATCTTGTAAGAGAATGATGAGACATATTCCATGATCTACCCCACCCATTTGGGGCCGAAACCAAACTTCTCCAAAATTGCTTTTAGGAATGACCACTCTACTATATCATATGCCTTGCTCATATTTATCTTAATTGCCATGTAATATGATTTGTTCTTACTTGTTTATAAGCGATGCATAATTTCATGAGTAATTAAGATATTATCATATATTAACCTCCCCGAGATGAATGCACTTTGATTTTACCAATAATTCCTTCCACTAAAGGTTGCAATCCATTTGCCAAATTTTTGCAATGACTTTGTAGCTAGTGTTACATAAACTAATTGGCCTAAAACCAGCAGGTGACTGGGTTTTTTACCTTTGGAATGAGAGTAATGAAAGTCTCATTTGACTCTTTGAGGATATGACCACTTTGAAAGAATGCCTTTACTGCTTTACATAGGTCTGAACCTACCACATCCCAACAGCTTTGGTATAAAGAATTTGGATACCTATCCGGCCTAGGGGCCTTTAGGGGTGCCGTCTGAAAAAGCACTTTTTTTTTTTGCTTCCTCTACTTCTCTTTGGAGCAAGGCATTCTGATCTAAACTGATAACTAGCTCAAAAAACTCAGATAGTCTTCAATACCGGATGGGTTTGAAGTCTTAAAAATGTCTCCAAAAACGGCTCACCAGCATGTTATGTTATGAATGCTCTCTTCCTCCTCAACCCAAACTCCGAAGTCACCCTTTAGTCTAACTATTTTATTTCTTGCTCTCCTTCTAATTGTAGACATATGATAAAATTTTGTGTTCCTATCACCAAATCTTAGCCAATTAACCTTTGCTCTCTAGGCCCACATAATCTCCTCTCATTTTAGGAGGACATCAAGGTTAGCCTCCAATAGGCAACACCCCAACTTTCCTTTTGTCAAAATTAGACTTGTCCTTGTCAATCTTAAGAGCATGTCATTTTTCTCTCAGGATAAATTGCTTCGGACCCTTTATTTTCTTGCTCTAGCATTAGGTAAGAACACCTATGAAATCACAATGGGTCACCAACATTTGCTCAACCCGAAGGACTTTTTGTCCAATCTAATCTTTCTCTAATATTGTCATTATAGAGAGCCCAATCTAATCTTGCTCTAACATTGTCTAAATCATGACTATTGTGTGACCACGTGTACCTAGGACCATGTGAAGCAACTTCCAATAAAGAGAATTGCTCCACTACACTTCAAAATCGCTTTAGGGTAGTCCACCTCAGTGATCTACCTCTTTCTTTATTATAACCATGGAGAATAATGTTGAGATCTCTAATGCAAAGCCAAGGCACATTAATTGAACTAGCCAGACCTTTCCATTTGTTCAATAAGATTCCTTTTCTACTCTTATTTGCTTCACTAGCCCACTTGAATTAGGAAAAACTTTAGCTGTTGGGGGCCAATAGCCTATGCTGTTGAGAGAATTTCTGAAAATGCCACATTACCATGAGAATGGGTAAATTAGTAATTACATCTTAATTTATTTTTACTAAAAACCAAAGCATGGGCATGAATAGGTGAACTGCCTAGAATGTGCCCAGCCTAGAAACTATCTCAACAGCCTATGCTGTTGGGCCCCAACAACCAAAGTTAACCCCTTGAATCAACTCCCCAACAATCACAATCATTAAAGCATCTTAATTTGGATTTACACAACAACAGAGAACATTTTATTTCCATTAGGAAAACTATTTTTGCCTTTTCTACTCTTAGGGCTTCATGAATGGCTTGGATTGTTGAGGGGGATCCCACCCTTTGACAATTCCAACTAAAGATCTTTATTTCTCCCTTGGAGGCTGTTGTGGGACAGCCTTCGAAGTCCACTTATTTATAACAAGGGAATTCTCCTCAGTAAATCAGATTTCTTTCTTAGAATCAACACACCCTAGCTGCATCCTTAAGGTGTCATTGCACAAAACAACATTTTTACTAGACCCTGACTTCATCCTTTTAATTAACTAATGCATCAGAAAATTCCTTTCAAAAAGAAATTACTCCATTCTTTTTCCTTTTATTAGAAAAAAAAACAAAGAAACCTTAAATTTCTTATTTGTTGGAATAACTTCTACGGGTTTCTTCGAGAAGCCCCATAATACTTTAAGGCCTTGACTCGTCTTCTGCATTTGCCGTATAGATCCAACAGTTTTAGATGAGGAGCCAAAGACTCACAAGCCATTATGTAATTCAAAGCTAGGTGTAGGTTATCTAACGACTAGACCTAGATCCAGCCCAAAAAATAAAAAAAGTCCAAATTCTTGAGTCGAGCCTATATAAAATTTTAGGCTGGGTCAGTTCCGTCTTGGATTGGATTCACCCAAATCACACCCCAAGATACAATGGCCCTACAGCTCTGCAACACATCGTTTCACAATATGAGGTTATTTGACAATGCGAGTGATTTTGTTTTTTCAATCAAACGTAAACAACTACCACACCAGCAAAATAATTTGGTATGTGTTTGGTATCGATGTTGCATATACCAAGGTTTAAAGTATTGATACAATACGCCCCGTATCGGACATATCGTATCGTATCTTTTGAAAAAGATATGCCCCTTTCGGAACCCCAAAACCTATTTTTAGCTTCCTAAAAACCAAAATTTGAAGAAAAAAAGGCATTCCGTGTGTTTCTAAGTACCGATACAATACTGCGTATACCATGGCATATACAACATATAGTATGGGTTGGAAGCACTGTTTTCTTAGAAAATGGTATCTTTTTTTTTTGTTTGTTTGGAAACGTTGCTGCCAGGTATCATGAGGAAAATAGCAAAAATTCTGAAAATTACATGGAAAAAAAGCAAAAAAAATTCATACATTAATATAGAAAAATTTAGACAAATGAAAAAATATAGAACAAAGTATGAAAATCAGAAAAATGAATGAAATTGCATGGAAAAATAGAAAATATATATAAAGAAAACCACAAAAACAAACTGATAAAAAGCCTAGAATAGAATGACATAAAAATGTGAGTAAATTGCTGAAAAATGTAATAATTTAAAAATAGTACAATTTCGCAAAAAAAAATTGACATAAAAAAATGGTGCATTGTGATGCACCATATCAATTTAAATATAATACATGTTGGATGCCATGTCACTGCATCGTTGGCAGGAATGAGCTCCAAATTGAGAAAACGTCAAATTCGGCGTTTCCCCATACCACACCTTCTTGATTTTCAAAGCATGATTTGGAACAACATTCCACACGTCATTTTCTAAAACACCAATTTTTTCAATGTGGCGCTGATGTATCACCATTTTCCGGAGCAATGGCATCAATGCCAAACATCACCTTGATTTTTGTCTATTGAGGTAGGCGTGCGGCGTGCCTAGCTTGTGCCTTGTGGGAGTCTCCTGATGACGTGATGCGTAAAGCCGTGAACCTAAAAACATTTGTTTAGCTCGAGAAATGCAGATCCAGTTGGATTGTAGGTAACTCCAATCTCCCCTTCTCTGTATCCGAAACGGTCAATCTGGCGTAGAGTTCATTAATTTGAAAGCTGATCAACTCCAAACACCCGCCCCCAAAAAAGGAAAAAGCATAATGGATAATCCCAAAAGACAAAAGTATAGTTACAGGAACTAAGCGTCTTAACATTATCATTTATTAGGTAAAAGGGTCTGTCTCTTTCTTTCCTGTTTGAAAGGTTGCATAAAATTCCTCGTGCAATAAAATACCAACCACGTTAATGGCCACAAGGAACGGAGAAACTCTCCAGGCCCATCTCGTGTAAAAACTTGTTGAGTATTGGCATTGCTTGTCCCCCGTTGTCTGATCAACAACTCATATGTCCTTATATTAGATGCCTTTATATTACATGCTTCTTAGTCACCAAATAAATATATAATTAAATAAAATAATATCCAACAATCCAAACCTCCATTATTTGAATAATATCGTGTTTGGTCCCATTGTCATTTATCTGAAAAACAGTGCCATCCATACCATCTATAGGCATTTTGCTTATGTGGCACCTAATGGTGTCTAACGGCACCTGTCAATATATATATATATATATATATATATATATATATATATATATATANTATATATATATATATATATATATATATATATATATATATATATATATATATATATATTATATATATAACTGTTTTTCTCATTTTTCAAGCCATACAAAAACGGAAACAGAAACCAAACAACCCCTAAGGCCCTAATCACTTTTTGGGGGGCGGGTATGTGGAATGGGATGGTCTGGATAAGTGGGCATAAAGCCCAACTGTGTATATAAGCTACCAAAAGTAGAGCAAAAATAATTCTTTAAGAAACCATAAAACCTGCATAGAAACTTAGAAAGTAGCTCAGCCTTGCAAGAAACAATAACGGGATAAGAATAACATTATTAATTATCATTATTTGCATCTTGATTCTTGAGTACAAAGGAATTTCTGTAAGCAGGGAGCCTGATTAAGACAATTGGTAAGTGTATCACGCTAAGAGGCAGCCGAGGGAATCTTTAACTTGCCTCTTCATTCTTTTTTTGCCATATTTCCCCTTCTCCTGCGCACGTATGATGGGATTGAACCTTCAAATGAAAGATTGCAGACATTTCCAATTTGATAAATGGGCTTCAAAAACAGGGTATAGGGGATTTAAAACAACCTATGGAGATATTAAATAGAGCAGACTATTTACTCTCTATACAACTCTATTTGTACACGTCAAAATTGCAGCTTTCAGCTCTTCCTTGTCCAAGGAGGCTTGTACTATCACCTGTCCAATGGAGAAACACATACAGATTTAGTACTCCTAATAAATCAAATACCAAGTATTTGGCAATAAAATCATACTGGAGGGAAAGTAGAACAGGGAAATAACAGACATTGACGAGTGTATATATAAGCATGTTCAATGCTATGTTGGTTCAGAACCCCTCAATAAGGACTGAGAACATTGGGAAGTACAATGATGCTGCACCCATGTAGACTTCCTCTACAATAGAGTGCTTTGATGAGAATAGGGAGAGGAGACTTCAGAAATCAGGCAGCAATGAATCATTTCATTGTGATTTTACATAGCTTTTGGACTATTGAGTTTTCTTAAATTGAATGGTACAACCTTTGAAATTCTAAGAACTCATCATTTCTATTTCCAAAATTCTATTAATATACATAGTTGTCAAAGGTAACACCTAGGCAACAAGGTACCCTTGGAGGGTCAGCTCACCTAATAACCAGGAAGTTTGGTACATTGTGTTATAGAATAGTTTTATATTCTTAATTTTTTATATTATAATTATAAAATAGACATTATTAAACTAAAATATTCATTTTGTGTGTTTATATACTAATTTCTTTTTTGTTTTCTTATATGCTAGGGTTTAATCAACACAAACATTGCTAATGTTGTATCAAACCCTCAAAGACTTCAAAACCTGAACCCAATAAGGACGAACATAAAATTTTGCTTCTTATTCTTCTTCCTCTTTTCCTATAACAAAAATAGGTGTTCAGCCCCTATATTTTTTGAACTTTCTTTTCTTTCCTCTTTTTATTGTCATGAATATGTTGATTTTCTATACTTTAACATGACGTTTATACTTTTTTTTATGAAAATTATGGATAATTGTTAAGGAAATATAGTTATGGAACCTAGGGAACTACCTTAGGTTCCCTATAGAAGTGCCCCCCTGTCGCCTAGCCTCGCCTTGGCACCTTAAAAACTATGTTAATGTATTTTCTCAGTTTAAAATTCAATTTAACATATTAGTGATAGCCATATTCTGGATGAGCTTATACATCTAGATACAATGAAAAAGAAAAATATAATTATATTCTACATGGTTTCCAAGCAACACATGAGCCTTGTCTAACTCTTGAGTACTGTTTCAAAGAGTGAAAATACAGTACTGAGATAAAACAATGTGGTTTCTTAATACTACTTTTACTCCCAAACAGTTGGTAATGTTTTATAATATGATATATCAATAAGAACCCCCTTGTCTTGGCATGATAAAGAAAATCAAAGATTGGAGAATGCACTTAAGCATCATTGTTTTGACATTCTTCTTAATGGTTGGTGAACTGCTTCTAAACTGTCAATGCAAATGCAATTCATTGCAGCCAATTCAAGAAGCATGAATTGAAGTCAGAATGAAGAAAACCAGTTAAAGAGCAGGCTGGGAGTATGCCCCTAATCCCAACACGTATAACTAGAAATTCATCTTGACAAATCGGGATGGATGCTGAAACTAACTTGAGGACCACCATTTTGGGCAGTAAATGAGCACCAGAACCATCAAAATCATGCTTTGGGATGGATGAGCCAGGAGAGACACACACACATGGAGGGAGAGAGAGAGCTCATATAAGGGAAAGGTAATGTTCTTGCAGATAATGAGGTGGGTTCCCATCAGGCTAGTTTACATTTGTAGTATGAACCAGTTAATGTAAATCCGTTTTTCCCAATGTTCTGGCTAATAACAAAAAGAGTGCAATATTCCAGTAGGTATACTGGAATATGAAATCAGATTTTATCCTCACAAAACCATTGTCATGCCATCCTCACAGCCCCTTGTACCTGTGCATTGGGAACATCTCCCCATGAATAAAAACATATAAGTATTGAGATGTTCCCAACACATGGCTGCAAAAGGCTGTGAGAACCAATGTTTTAAAACGTGGAGGCGTGACACAAGGCATTCCACTACCTAGAGGCATGAGGCGTAGTTAAGAACATAAGAGGCGTAAACCTCCCAAACACAATGAGGTGTAAGCCTCTTTAAAGAGGAGGATCAGGAGGAAGAAGGGGGAGGAAGAAGAGGAAGGGGGGGATCTCATTTTTTCTTTATTTTTAATAAAAATATTTTATATTAAGAATAAGATGCATAGCACTAGTTGAAAGGCTGGAGGCAGACCACTTTCCTTCCCCTTATCTTTTCTTCCCTTTTCTCTTTTTTTTCTTCTCTTTTTTTCTTTTTCTTTCCCTTCCCTTTCTTTTTCTTTTCCTTTCCTTTCCTTTTTTTTCTTTTTTTCTTTTTTTTTTCAGTCTTTTTATATAATGTGTGCATGAGGTGCATGAGGCGTACACCTCCAGCACACACACCTCATGAAAAAAGAACATGAGGCGTACGCCTCAGAGGTGTCAGCGCCTCTGGCATACGCCTCAGGACGTTTTGGGAGTGCCTCGCCTGGAGGCGTGCCTCCAGGCATACACCTCCCACACCTTTTAAAACACTGGTGAGGACAAAATCTGGATTTCTGTAATACATACCTCTTGTACTTTGTTTCCAGATCGAGCAAGTAACTTGTACTGACTTTCAAACATGGAAGCCATATAGACCTGCAGCAAAGAAAGAGCCATGGCAGGAGGAAAAAAATAGTAGAATCCATCAAATAGTTCAAAATACCCTTTAGAGATCAAAAGAAAAAAGTTAGAGCAAAATTCAAGATATGAAGACAAAACTGGTGAAAATTCTTTACTTTCCAAGTGTCCATAACCAGATGCTTTTTCAATCCATGGACTGTATACTAGCATATTGTGAGCAAGGGCACACAGAAGATTTAACCAGAACGTGATTCATAGTTAAAATCCATAGTACCAACCACCCAAGTTACATCTATCATCCATTAAGGCAGGGCATATTATAGAATTATTCAAAGTGGAAAGGATATTACAAAAAAAAAAAAACGGTGAGAAAGATAGGATTTTTTTTTTTTTGCATTAATCTCTTTTATGGATGAAGTTGGTATGGATTAATAATGCCAGGATTTCATTGGGGAACACTAAATTCGTGACTATTGGATGTCCAGAAACTCAGAATCACATGAAATTGATTCCAGAATTTTTTAAATTTTGTCAAAGTTTAAAAGAATGTAAGCATTTGAGATCTAGCAAATGGGAACCTTAGAGAGTTCATTATGAAACCCAAATAAGAGCCACCAAAGTGCTAAAAAACCCCTTGATTTAATTTATTTAGTTTCTCTCAAGTAAACAACTTGAACAAGGAATAAAAAACACGAGACTCGATGTAGGTAATCTAATGGAAATTAGAGTAAATTTTCTTTAATCTTTTTCCACTTTGGTTTGTGATCACAACTCACAAGGTTCAGAGACCTGAGCCAAGAGGAGCTGCTACATGACCAATAACTCTCATAACAAATAATGTAGGCTAGACTACTCTAATACCAAATAATGTAGAATAGTGGCATGCTCTAGTACCAAATAATGTAGGATGGCTATGACCCAAGGATGAGACTAGGAGGTTAAGAATGAGTTTCAAAGGGTTCAGAGATAATTTCAGGACTATAGGTTGGAAAAATCATTTGGCCTTCATTTTCCTTGGCTCAGGAAATAGGCATCTGCTGGGCATATTGTTTAGGCCAAATAATAGGATAGCGTAGGATAGACTACTCTAACACCAAATAACAGGTGTCTGGCAGGCATATTGTCTTGTCTTCTGAACAGATGAACAGACTTATTCGAAAGGCTAATTCCACTAAAGTGGAAGTCAGGATGTGTTATTAGGCCTCAATGGTGCTGACATGCTGACGAGTTACAGGGAACTTAATGACACAACTGACAAATTATGAAAATCAGCGTTGAATCAGGAAAGAATGTAGAGGAGGCCGTCTCTACCATAGGATGCTTGTATAGATGACTTGATTGTATAGCACTAGGTTTGGCTCTTATTCTTTTTTTTTTTTTTATCAATAACTGTGGATTGAATTAATATTAAAAATATGAGAAAATTACAGAGCAAGGGGGTTAAACATTCTTAGCTCCCAAGAACAACCATTAACCATCAAAAGAACAAAAATTACAAGACAGCCCAAAAAATAGAATGTCTGTTCACCCCTTGTCTAGCTAGACCATCTGCCAAAGAGTTCGCACTTCTTTTTACCCATTTGTATTGGATTTCCATGTCCTTAGTCAGCCACTTGAATTTCCTCTTTTCATTA